GTTGCTACGGGCTCACTGGGCCATCAATCAAGGCTAATCGCATTGGCTTTTCGCGCGCCGCCGACGCGTTGTCCCAGGACCTTTATTGCTGCTGTATAGAGAGAGAGAGAGAGCGAGAGAGATAGAGACAGACGTGCAGGAAGGGACGGGACAGGTCGGGCGGGGCGGGGTGGGGCCGAGGGTCCACCGGCAGGCAGACGCAGGTCCGCAGGTCGCCCGGCTGTCATACGGCACGTCAGCGGAATTGTGATGATGATGATGAGCCTTGGCTCGCAAATGAAGGGCTTCTTGTTTTCGGCCAGAGAGGGTGCCGCCAGGCCGGGCTAGGCTGGGCCTGCCTAACGGGACTCGCGGCGCTGTTGTCACGTTGGGGGCTTGACTTTGTTGGCAGACACGTGTGCTAATCACTTGTCCTCTCGTCTTTTGCAGATGGCTCCCCGGGCGGCAGCAGCAGCAGCAGCGGCGGCAGCAGCAGCTCCGCCGAGCAGAACCTCCGCCGCTACCGCACCGCCTTCAGCCGCGACCAGCTGGCGCGCCTGGAGAAGGAGTTCCTCCGCGAGAACTACGTGTCGCGGCCGCGGCGCTGCGAGCTGGCCGCGCAGCTCCACCTGCCCGAGTCCACCATCAAGGTGAGTCATCGTCCCTCCCTCCAGCCTCCCCGTTCGGGTCCAGCCCGCTGCCGCCATCCTTGTCCAGCCCGGCCGTGGCCCACACACGCTCCGGGGCCCCCGCCGCCCCCCGCGGCCCCCGCGGCCAGACGCAGCCAGCGGTAATGGGGCTCTTAGTACCCGGGTGGCAATTGGAATCATTAACGCCTGCGCCGCGCACTGCCGTGCCGCGCGGCCACACCCGCGTGCGTCCGTGCGTGTGCGCGCGCGTGTGCGTGTGTGTGTGCGCGTGTGTGCCGCCATCCGGCGGTACAGCCGCGCCGCCCGTCCGTCCCGCCGCGATGATTGTCTTTGGGGAGGAGAGAGGGGCTCTACTCGGACGCGCTAACAGGTCGGCTGAGCCGCACCGGATGGGACGGGCCGAAAGGCTGCCCAAAGGCATGAGTAAAGCCCGGTAGCTCCGTGTGTGCCGCCGCGCCCGCCCGCCCGGCCCGCTCTCCAAGTGCTAAACACCCCGATGTAAAATGATTAGCACGTCTCCTGGGAGGGGAGTCTGAAGCGCGCCGCTCCGGAGATACCGACGCATATTTTTACGATTTTTTTACCTTCTTTATCTTCTCTCGTCGTGTTTGCTCGGAATATTTATTTTTTCTCATTGCACGCACACACACAGACGTTCGGGACGGCGGCACGCCTCGCCCCCCCCCCCCCCCCGGCCATCCATTTCCACATTGTCTTTGAACATCGTCGGCAGTGTACTAATGGTCCCTTTCCTTCTGTTTGCAGGTGTGGTTCCAGAACCGTCGCATGAAGGACAAGCGCAACCGCCTGGCGCTGGCCTGGCCGTACGCCGTGTACTCGGACCCCGCCCTGGCCGCCTCCATCTTGCAGGCGGCCGCCGCCTCCGCGGGGGTGGGCGGTCTGCACGGACTCGCCGCCTTCAACCCCTACCCGCTGCCGCCCTACTACCACCCCCACGCGCACCCTCCACCGCCATCCGTGCCCAGCTCCGTGCGATACTCGCCCATGCACTCTCACCCGGGCTTCCACCGGCCCGCGCCCGCCGCCCAGCCCCCCGTCAGCCTGGCCAGCGGGGTGTCCGGAGGCCCCGGAGGAGTGTCGCCGCTGAGGTCCCCGCTGGGGTCGCCGCCGTGCCCGACCAACCCGTTCCTGCGGCCCTTCCCGGGGCCCATGGGCGGCATGCCCCCCGCACCCCTGTCCAGCCCGCTGTCCAGCCCGCTGTCCAGCCCCATGTGCCCGCTGCGCCTCAGCCGGCTCAGCCCGACGCACTCGGAGCACAGCTCTGGGACCGTGTCGCCCACCACCGTGTCGCCGACGGCCGCCTCCCCCACCGCCATGTCGTCGCCCGCGGGGCCCGACGCCGCCGATGACTGCGACGGCTCAGGCAGCTGCCGATGTGGCATCGTGAACTGTGTGGCCTCGTCAGCAGCGTCGTCCTCCTCGTCGCCCACCTCGGCCACTTTCACCTCCTCCGCGGCCGTGTCGAGGTTACTGATGGCCTCGTCGCCGCCGGCGCCGCTGCCCCTGCCGGCGCACCGCGGCCTCAGCACCACCACCATCACCTCCAGCGGAGTGACTGTTCACCACGAGCCGGAGCCGCCCAAGCTCTTCCAGCCCTACAAGACGGAGACGGCTTGAGCTCGTCACTCCCGGAGGGCCCCGGACCCTAACTGCTACTGTGCAATATTTCCGTCTGCACGCCGATGAGACATGCGAGGGGACGTTCGCTTCCTTATTTTGGCTGTTGAAAAGTTAATATCGATTTATTGTCAACTATTTACTTCGTGTACAATGACGAGAAAATTTCCCCTTCTGCAACCGGTTACTCTAAGGGTGTAGACTCTACCAATTTTTATGTGATGTGTATTATATGACAAGATTTTTGTTGTAATTTATTTATATGATATGGGTAATCAAAACCTGCCTCTATTCAAAGGATTCCTTTAGTTAATAATTGACTCATTGTTTTGTTGTTGGTGAACCTTCAAACCAAAGAAGTGATGTATGAATTCTATACATATTAAGTGATTTTCATGTGCTATATTATAG